GATTCCCGCGGACCATGATCACTGGAATGAGGGTCACTTTTAAGCCCCGCTGATGGCCAGTAATTAAATGCTTGACATGCCGTTGGGTGTGGGGCTTGGCGGCCCGAGGATTAGCGCCACTAAGAGGATGTCTCGACGGCGGGAAAGTCCTGAACATAACCGAGTGCAAAAGTGAAAAATTAATGACGGAGTACTTCAGAACTGCACGCCACTCATTTCTCGCAGTGCAGGCCGGGAGGTAAATTAACGCTGAAGCTGGCTTTATAATTATGGCAAGTAGCTTAGACGATTGCCGAGCTACAGGCGTCATTTCAAGTTTAAGGGAGAGTGGATTGCTTATTAAATAAAAATTAAAGGAAAACCAATTTAAAGGTATTTAATATTAAATGCCTGTTTGCTTCAAGAATATTATTATCTGATTTACCCAATTTGGTTCTCGACTGACTATAATCAACAGTTTATTAAAGCGTGAATTGCATCCTGTTGCCCCTGTTTATCCCTCCTCCGCCTTGACATTAAATATTTACAAGTTCTCAATTTGCTTAAGTGAGCATCGTAAGGCAACAAAGCCGTAATAAAATCAACAAGCCTAAGCAAAAATATTTGTCTGCCTGTAAAAAAGCAGGAGAGACCGCGGAAAAAGGCAAACAGCAGACAGGATAAGAGCGCGGAGCTGTTCGCAAATTAAAAGAAATCAAAATCGTATGAGAATTTTCAAGTGATTGCCGCGCGAGTTCTTGTTCGCATTTTTTGCTCACTGCCAGGAAGCGGGCCAACATAAACAAGCAATTTAACAGGCACTCACACACACCCTCACAGCCCCCAGAACGCACACATCCTTAAGGATCCGTCGCCAGTTGGCAAACAAACGAAGCGTTCAGGCGAAAAAAGCCAGCGGAGTTGGAAAAAGTCGGGCAGCCTCGAAACAAGCAAAGCGTTTTATATGCCCACATCGGTGTGCTAGTGTGGCTCTCTGTATGTGTGTGTGTGTGTGAGTGTGTGGCACCGCAGATTTCTCTCACCAACCCACACATAGCAACACACCCACACACGTGCCAGCCGCAGCCTTAAAGTATGCCGCAAGTTTTGCCGCTCTTTGTTAATGAAATTTTAATCAAGCTGCAAGCGCAAAAGAGTTTGCGAACCAAGTTTGGCGAGCACACATGCCGCACTCCTTTGCTGCGGCTGCTTTTAAAGGCAATTTCCCTTTTTTCGCACCGCCAAATAGCCGGCAGCTTCATTAGAGTCGCCCCGATCCACGCTGCGTATGCGTAATAATTTATTTAAAATGCAATTCGTTTATGCCAGACATTAATCATTCCGGCGAATGCGATAAGACATCGAGTAAGTCACGTTCCGAGGTCGGCTGCATTTATTAACAATTTACGTCATAAATAAAATTGAAAAACATTCATAATGTCAATGGCGGCGAACGCAGAGAACGAGTGAAAAGTGAGTGAAAGACGTGAGAGCATGAACTGATGGCAATTTCATAAATTACACCCAGTTGTGGATGGTTGGCGGGACTAAGGGGCGGTGTGGATGAGCGGCTGGTTTACATAAATTAGACAACAAATTTCCCAGCAAAATGGGAGCAACGCGCTGGCAAAAGGTAAATCACAAGGCGGCCCCCAAAATGACAACATTAAAAGCAGCCAGGTGGGGTAACGTACTCCTAAATGGGCACTGAAAGAAAATCAAATATACACGCTAAATCATCTCAGCTGGCCTTTTCCGTTGCTATGAAGCTCTCACCATACTTTTCCCTCAGTGATAAATTTGCGAAAACACTTTTACTTAGAGCCTTAATTCCCTGCCCATTTTTTCGTGGTATCAGGCCGAGTTGTTTAACATATTTCTGTTTTGCTCTGGCTGTTACGCCTTTTCCTGGCCGAATTCGAGTGAATAATGTTCGCTTAGCACGGCAAATAATTATTTCCCGCTTACTACCAACTGGCATGCTATTTGGCAAGGGCTTTAAGGATAGCTTTCGGTCCTTTTCAGCCCGCCCATTGCCACCCACTTGCCAACCCCCCGTTTTAGGTCTCCTGTTCATTATGTGAATTTTGAAATTGTTTTTTTCTTTCTTTTTGCCTCCTCACTGTTGTTTCATTGTGTTTTTTGCTGCGGGGCACCAAAAACACAAAAAGTATAAAAAGACTGAAAAAGAAATGCCAACACGTTGGCTTGGCTGAGCAACCCCTCAAAAAGGTGTTGAGTTGAGCTAAATTACAAAAAATTGCTGCTGTTGTTTGTGTGCATTTTTCTTTAATGATTTGAATATGCAAAGCGCGCCGAACGAAGCGAATGAAAAGAATTTTAATTAGTTTTTGGAATGTTTTTCGGTGCAATTAAAGCCAAATGCCAGCCATTGCAATAAACAAAACAATTATTATTCTCGCATATTCGGCATTCAAAATGCTCCATACAAAAATGATTGGTATGCCTGGTGCACAATGGTTGGTTAAATGCTAAATGGTTTTTCCAAAATAGAAACAGCAACTAAATATGCATGGCGCAGCGAATCGATTTGAGAAATTCGCATCGAATTGCCAAGCAGCATAGAAATTTTCCTCTTGAAAATGCCGAAGAAAAACAAACCAAGAGGCCAAGATGGCCATAAGGAGCAGAAACAGCCCGTCCACAAGGATTCCTCTACGTTGCTTTAAAAGGACAAGGAAAAACTATTTTCTGTATGCATTCGAACAACGGAATAATTCGTCTACCTTTCGCCCGATGTCTGGGCAATGTCCCATGACGTCCTTCCCCCTTCGAAAGCAATAAATGTTCAAATCAATTGAAACGTTTTGCCAAAGCCTCACACCCAGTGTGAATCCACCCCCGATATAAATCGAAGGAGCTGGGAATGGATTCCTGGACAGCTTAAGGCGGCGATTTGGTTAGCCTCCGAACAGCAGAAAATCGATAAGGGATGCCCAGGAATGTCAACTTGTTTTGAACTAGTCAGTCAGACGGGCGGGCAGGCAGCAGGCAGCAGTCAGCAGGCCCAAGGAAACCAGATCCTGTCCCACATTTGAGAGCAGTGCCGGAATTGGATAGTAGTCTATACTACAGCTACACTATATATGTATTTCTGGTCCACAAATCGACAGAAGTCGACGGCAATAAAACGCCATTTGGTCATAAAAATAGTCGAACGTTGCTGGGTCAAAGTGAATGCGACAACTGCCCCAAGGGGAGGCAGCAGAGTTTTGCGAAGTGCCCCCAGGAGCAGGGGTTCCTGGATCCTGTCTGCCAAGGCAAATTACGAATTTTGCATATTGCCTTTCTTCGTTGGCATTCTCTCTGCCCCTTTGGCCCATTAGTCATTTCGGTGCCGGGCGAGTTTGGCCAGAGACTACGGCTTGGTTTGTCGCCACTTTGCAGGATGAATGACCCCGGCATAGTTGGTGCCACTATTCCGCCGGGCCAATCCACTCCGCATCGCACCTCCCTAAGCCTAGGAAAACCTCGGCTGGCGGAAATTGCGCACACGTCACAGGGCGGCACTTTTCATACAACCGCTGGCCATTTTCCTGATCCTTTGCTCGAAAGTAGGGAAATATCGAATGCCTATTCCCATTTTTAAGGTGAAAATGAACTTTCTGTGTTTCTTGCTGCATTGCATAAAATAAATATATAAATCTGGCACAAATGCAAGTGAAATGGTGACACATCTGGCTCAGTTTCGTTTTTTTGCGACTGATTTATTCAACGCTTTCAAAATTATTCTCGTTATTAATTAAATATTTGTTTTAAATACTTCAGTGCCCAGCGTGTTTAACCCTTGTACTTTTCTGTGTCGCAAAAATTCACGTTTAATTGATTCTCGCAACCGAATGCATCAAAAATTCATGCGTGTGCAATTAATGACATTACCGGGGCTCTTGGCCAGCACGAGGTATTTTTATTCAATAAATTATAGTCATTATCATTATTAAGCAGCATGAGGGGCTCTCTTCAAAAGGCCGGACATTAAAGTACTGCGTGCTCTACTTAATTTTTAATCATAATGAGCGCCATGAAATTGTCGCGAAAACTGGAATTTCATTTCAGTAAACGTGTGGATACATTTGGAAGATTGTGATTTTTAGACAAATCACTTTAAAAGTTCATTTACACAGCTGAGCACAGGCACAACTTCCCTGCTGATTAGGTTATGAATTTAGGGAATTTAAGATAGATAATTCTTTGTACAACTTTTAGATCATTAGTTGGAAGGGAGTTCTTTACATTTTGCCCATACCCATACCCACTCACATTTACGCACATGTAGGTCAAAAGTGGCTGAGCAAAAGCAAAAGCGTTGCATACCTTTGGGCTGTCAATTTATTTTTCGCGCTTCGCATGTTCTTGGGCCATGTTTTTCCGATGCTCCCGCGCCTCCTTTTGCGTCCTTGAAATTTATGCGTTCGACGCAGGCGAAGCGCCAAGTGTTGAGAACATCGCAGATAGGCACAAGTGCCACATGGCATGTAATGCGCTCATTATGCGCCGTACCTACACGAACATACATACATATATGTATCTACATGGAGATGGATGCCACATGCAAGGGATGCCTGCCGCGTTTCGCCCTTGGAACTGGGCCAATGTGAAAGGCATTGTCTTTTGGGTCGCCTCCGCCGGAGAGATAATAACAACAAATTATTACACTTGCCGAGGGACCTCGATTGGGCTGGGGAGCAGAGGGGCTTGCTGGGGTAACTAAATTAAGCATATCGTTGATAGCTCAACGCAGATCGGACGAGTCCTTTATCCTGGCTGGCTCTGTGCCAGCTTATGCCCACTGTCGAAACTGAGAGGCCTTCAGCTCTGCACTTTGAAAAAATTTGGAAATTCTGTTTGCAATTCGAAAAGAATATGCGTAATATTCAAGTAATGTTAATGTGGGCTTAATATTCAATTTACAAACCGTTGCTACGCAACAAATTTGAGTTTTCGAGAAAGCAAATTTCTGAAAACGATTTTTGGAGCCGAGTTAAGAAGGTTCTGACCTATTTGTTAAATCAACACAACTTCATTGGCTAGCAAACACATAGAACACGTGCACATTTCCACACAATATTACACAGAACAATGCAGAAGCGTAAACGCCGCTTCCTAAGAAAGGGAGAAAACTTGATGATGTTGCGAACAATCCGATTGGAAAAAGCAAAAAAGGCCGAGCAGCAGAAAGAGCTGACTATCTCCAATGCCATAACCAGATGCAAATTAGCCTCCGCGGAAGTTATTCCTGACATCAATGAGTTACTCCAGAACAATACGATTGGAAACCTGGTGGATTCGCTTGGCCGCGATAATAAGAAGAAAATTCGAGCCGAGTCCGCAGATGCTTTAGCTCATATAGCCAGTGGCTCATCTGAACACTCGAACTTAGTGGGTCTATGTGACTTTATAGCTTCTTCCCCTTATTCCTAGTATAAATATTCCCTTGCAGATTGCGAAGGCCGGCGCCGTACCACGATTGATTCGCCTCTTGCAATCATCCGATCCGGAAGTCTGCGAAAAGGGGATTTTGAGCTTGGGAAATCTGCTACACTTTGCCCCAAACCTCCGTGACTTTATCATAAGTCACGGATTTGTGCAAAAGCTGATATCTTTAATTCAGGATAAAAGCACTTCCACCGTCATTTTGAGTCATTTAACCTGGGTTCTAAGGAAACTGTGCATAAGCCCTCAACCGTCGCCACCTGATGATTTAGCTGGCATCCTTCAGGCCTTGAACATTCTATTGTACAACCCGGAGGCCAAAATACTAGAAGACTCACTTATGGCAGTGCGTAATTTGGCCCATGGAAGTGATATGATTCAAATACTCCTTGGCACTGAAGTTGTACCCAGGATCATATACCTACTGGAGCATAATGATGTCATGGTTCAGAAGGCCGCTGTGCAGGCCCTAAGAAATATAGCCTCTGGATCCGAAGAGCAGATTCAAGAGTTGCTCAAGAACAATCTTTTGCCCCATATATCTGCACTGATGTCCCACACTGATGCGGATATTCGCAGTCAAGTTCTCTGGCTGCTGCAGAACATCGCTGATGGAAATCACTTCCATAGACAGGCCATTATGAACGCAGGTCTCTTGCCTAAGATACTGGAGAACTTGAAGGCTGAAGCGATACCATTGAAATGTGCAGCTGCCTTGACAATCACCATGCTGGCTATCGATAAGGACAAGAATCTCCTGTGCTATCTTATGAGACAGGGTGTGATTCCGGAGTTCTGCAATTTACTCTTCTACGAGGACAACGAAGTCATATGTAATTTGCTTCATGTCCTGAGCACCATGCTGGATGTGGACCCATCTTTTACGGCAGAGGTGACCGGCATCATCGAGTGGAGTGGGGCTCTGAACAATATCAAGATGCTCCAAAGCAACGAAAACGAGGAAATTTCCCAAGTGGCACGAAAGATGATTAGTGACTACTTTTCCGGTAACACAGCCGCACATCGCAACTAAATTCAAATGTGTTCAACATAATGTTCTCGAATCTTCATTATTCATATACCTTTGTACTTTTGCAGCCAAATTCCAAAACATCTGCTATATCTAGTTGTTTTATATTGAGTTCAAGTTTTGGGTGAATATAAATTGTATTGTACAACATATGTTTTTTAGCACGGCCATGGCCTTGAATAAAAATGCTTAAACATCGGTCGCAAAAGAATCGTTTTTTGTATTATTTTTTGTGTTGGAACCGCATCAATTGCACTTCCGCATGAAAAACAAGTTTCGTGCAAAAGCCAGATTATTGCAATCATAAATTTTTATGATTTTCCCATTGGTTGCAGCTCGAGGCAAGAGTGTGGAAAGTGTGGGCGGGAAAAGCGTTCTGAGTTGTGTGGGCGGCGTGGGAAAAGTGCTCGCATACCGCACGAAATTTTATGTGTATTTAATAGCCTTGCAGATATGATGCAGAAAGTTATTACACCCAGCACGGCCAAGTCCTCCCATTCCCGAGGCAATGCTGTGGGAAACCGATAAAGGAGGGGAAAATAAGCTATATATACTGATACTGATACATTTCCCATATCAGCTGCCTGAGTTTTGTGTTTTTCGGCGGCCATTAAAATGAAATTTAATATAAACTTAGCGCAAAATGACGAGGGCCGTAAAAAGCATATTGACATTGCCGCAAGATCAAGCCATTCCATCCATCAATCAATCAATCAGGCCTGACACCAGCTGTGGCAGCCGCAAAAATGTATCCACAGGACTCCGGTGGCAGGTAGGACGTTGCAAAAAATGTAATCTAATCCAATTACTCAACACTGGCAAACAAGGGGGGAAGGACTCTCGGCCGGGCGCTAATGGACGAGTCCCCAAACATGTCGCATATCACATGTCTACAGGAAAGTTAAATAACCGAGGGCAATCGCAAAGTATCAATGGCCGGGAAAAAGAGTGCGGATAAGGCCAAAGCCGCAGGCCCATTTACATCATCAACCCCAACTAGCCAAACGAATGCGTTTGATTATTAACCAACAGAAATCCGGGGTAAGAGTGCAAATCCTGGCCCAAACAGAACAAAAAAGAAATTGAAATTCATGCGCATTCGGGGGTTCTTCCCATGCTTTTGTTAAGGCCACGGGGCTTACAAGATGGAATATCTTGTTGGATTGTCGGGCTTGGGGCCCCCACAGCCTTCTATTGACGAAATTATCATTTTTGTTGCTTCAATAAAACGACAGGGCCGAAACTAATATGGTTTCATCTTTACCCCCAACCAAGCAGACTTAGGCATGAAATTGAAAATGTAACAATGGGAAAAGTGAGGGGAAAATAGGAAGGGAGGAATATGTTTGGCTGATTGGATGGCGCAGCGACCGATGATGATGATGAGGTGACATTGGAAGCACAATCGCATTGCCCACAAGCGAGTTTAAGCAATACTCTCTCTGCCAGCCTGCCGATTTATCAAGCATTTCATTTCTCTGTACCCATCAAAATACCTTCAACTTTCACTCTTGGCAATCGAATGGCTATTATACCCACCCATAGTTCAAATATTTGCCAGTATTTCACCATCGGAAACCGGTGCTGATGGTGACACCGAGTCGGATGCCCAAACCCCGAACCGATTATGCAAATTTGTCCGGGTTAACGATTTCATTAAATGCCAGAACCGACCACGCCTTATCACCCAAATGCCCCTGCGGTCTGGCCAACTAATTTCAATATCATCCACCGCCTCCAGGAGCTTGCATTAATTCTCACATTTAGCCCACAGGCCGCAGGAGGCGTGTCCTTGCTGATAAACAGGCACATCAGAGCTTCCGCTTAGTCTGCCAACTCTGGACTCATAACAAATCCCCCGGCCTCCTCCTGCAGCACACAGGATGTCCTGGATGGAAGGTAAGCCGGGTGGACACATGGGCGCAAAGCTGAGCGACAACCCAGCATCCAAGGGGTCAATTTGGAGCGTATCAAAAAGGGACAACAGTTTTATAAACTAGAGTTCTGCCAGCTTAGTCCAAGGAAATCCCAATGGGACGGGGAGGTGGACAGGGACTCTGTCTGGCCGGCATATTTATAAACACATTAAAAACGCTTCACTGGCATGTGCTGGCCAGGATATGGAAACTTGATGAGTTATCAGTTGGGAGCACAGGGACAAGGTTGATAACGAAATTATGCACACCGTTAGAAAATTAAAAACATATCTTGGAACCAGTCAAAGGCAATTAAATTAAACAGTTGCAACCTAATTTTGAGGTATTAATGTACAATTAGTTGAGAGACATTTTTCAATTTGAAAATTGAATAGTATTTAAGGAGACATTTTGCCACAGTGTGCAACTAAAACGTCCTGCCTCCCTTCCCCCCAAAATTAACAGAAACCAAGTCAAAGTCAATGTTTGTAGATGTGATGTGCTGGTTGTGGGCGAAATCCCACAGCATGTTGAAAAATGTCAGTTGCACATGAGACTGGCAGGGACCTCAAGCCTCAAGAACCTCAGCAGTCAAGCCACTGAAGTGGAGGGTGCGGAAAGGACCTGTGAGGGCTGGGGTGCCCATCCGAGGAGCCAGTGATGAGGAATTGCTGCTACTTGCAGCTGACGGTTGTTAAGCTTGTCAACATGAAGCGACAGTAAGTCGCAGTGGGACCAGGAGGCGGATAGAGCCAGGTCCTGGCGTAACAATTGGGGCTCCTCCATATGCAGCTTATCCCCCAAGTCGTGGCATACCTATTCCCCATGGCTCCACTACTTTTCCAGGTCAAGCCACATTTGACCCCGTTTTTATCTGAAAGTCAACAGTTTAAATGCCGTTTAACATTTTATGGCGCGGGGGAGAGCATAGCGATTTGTAACCTTCATGTTAATACTGCAAGCCAAGTTATTTATGTAAATTACTGGCAACTGCAATGCCAACTGCATCCAAAGGATGCTGGCCAAGCCAAGGACCCCTTAACTCCCAGCGTTCATGTTTTATAATTAAGTCAGTAATTTAAGAGTGTCGGGCAAGGGAAACTTTTTTCGCTTGCAGCTTCACTCGACTGCATTCCTTGTGGCTTGCAATTTGGCTGGAAAACTTTTCGCCGTCTCACCCCCGCATCTAAATATGGAGAAAAACCGAGACAGAGAAAAGCCGTGCGAAAAAGCGGAAATGTTAACAACTACTTTGACATTTGCCATGGCTGCGGGAGCGGCAGCGGCAGCGGGAGCGGGACTTTTCCGGGGTGTTTGTTTGCAAGTTGAAATTACTTAAGTGCCAGCGCGACGAGGCGTGTGAATGCTGCCGAATCGAGTGCTCAGTCTCCATTCAGCAGTCCAAAGTCACCAGTCCAAAGTCACCAGTCACCAGTCCCGTCCCGACTGAATAAATGAGTTAGGGAGTGAAGGAAGTGGCTGAAACGGAGCTTAGCTTCGACCCTGGCTCATAAATTAATGTCATTGCATTAAAGCGTATTGGGGCAGCTCAGTTGCAGTGCCAGACGCAGTCGGAGTGTTTCCAAATAAAAATGAAAATAAAAATGAACACTGTGCTGCAGTGTCGAGAGTAACACAAGTTACACAGGCTCAGATGCAGCGAAGTGTGAAGGACAAAAGGCTACAATACGCAGAGTAAAACAGGCTACAAGGATTTTGATAGGACTTAAACATATCCTGCTCTCAAAGACTTAAAATCTTAGGAAGAATTTTCAATATTAAAATACTGTACATATTTATTTGCATTTATTCAAGTGAAGATCTTTGCTGTATTAATATCTGTGTTTATCCTAGTACTATCAGCATGCAGGATCTAAAGGATACTCTTGTTTTCCAACAGGACTGAGCACAAAAAGGAAGAACTAACGAACTACAAATACTCTTAGGCTAGCTGGAGGCCTTGAAAGCGTTGCATAATTCGATGGAAAAACTGTTTTCTCCGCCGGATGTAGTTTCTGCGAGAAGGTGGCTGGAATGTCCTGCCATCTTGACTGCAAGGGGTTTGTTTGCTGTGAAAAGGAAGCCACTGTGCATGGCGGAGTACAAAAATGTTAGTTAAATTTCGAAGCCACATTTGTTTTGTGCCAGCCTGGAAAATAAAACAGAGGTACTGACACAGTGAGAAAGGCGGCAAGAGTTGGCAACTCGAGTGCATGCATAGTGCATAAGTCAGTCAGTTGCCAGGGGCCAAATGCGATGCCGGGGCAATTCGTAGTCCTGGCATGACTTCTAGACTTATTGTTCGTTGACTTTTTGGCAGCACTCGAGTTGCCTCTTTCATTTTCATGCTCGCACTTGAAAATGAATAGCCAAGCAAGCCAGTCTTGGTTTGCTGGCATAGAAAAATATATTTCATAAACTGTTGCAAGTTATTAAAACGTCAGTCACACTGCTTTGCGTACCTGCTACGTACACTGCTTTGATTTTCTTTGTTGCAACTTCAGTTCATCATCGACCATTTCCTTTAGCCAGACTGCGACCAGACCATGGCTCGTAATATATCCTCAAGGTATGCATTAATTACAAGGATCGTAAAAGCCGGCAGTGGGAAACCTGCGCCCTACAATGCCAGCAGACACGAACTAAAACCCCGAGAGATGCCGACTCCGTTTTACTTTGTGTTACTTTCTGCATTTTACTGCCAGACAGAGTTGGAGGTCCTTGAGCGTAGTTATCTACATATACTCGTATATTCCCCCTGCTCGTTCCCTTTATGACATTCCATTGTTTCGGCTCTGTAATCAGGCGGCAAATTTCGAGTGCATAGTTTATATGCCTCCCCGCAGAAATATTTGTCTCCAGCTGCAAGGGCTTTTCATAAATTGCTACTTTAAGCTCCCGCCAAAGGGATGCCACCCAACGGTGGCAAACAAATGACGAACTCATGTTGAAGGCTCATTTGTTTTATGGCTGACGCTTAGGCAGGCAGCATATGTGCCTATCTACTACTTTGTAGTAGATTCCCTTCCCTACTACTCTCCCTTTCGCACTCCGGTTGTCCCAGTTACTTGACACGCTTTTTTCAGTCCTAATAGAAACGAAGACTGGCAGTTGCTCCTCAACTGCCATTCATTACTGGGATGCAGGAGAACAGGGGGATTTATTGTATAGACTAGAACAGTCAGGCATCCGTGGCTCGACTTCCCACTTGCAACCAACGATATCATAT